CTCACTCACTCACTCACACTCACTCTCATTCACTCACACTCACTCACTCTTTCACTCACTCACTCACTCACTCACTCACTCTCACTGACTCACTCACTCTCACTCACTCTCATTCACTCACACTCACTCACTCTTACTCTCACTCACTCACTCACTCACTCACTCACTCTTACTCACTCTCATTCACTCACTCACTCTCATTCACTCACTCACTCACTCATACACTCTCACTCACTCACTCTCTCACACTCACTCACTCACTCATACTCACTCACTCTCTCACACTCACTCTCTCACACTCAAAAAAAATAAACAAAAAAAAACCCCACTTGATGGGATCGGAAAACAGAATTGTATGTGAATGGGTATATTGGATTTTGTAGGATATGGCAAAAAAACTATTGGGGAAAAAGGGAGGGGACAAAGGAGAGCTGATATAAAGGAATTCAAGAAGAAAGAAGATGTTTTGAAACTGTTAGCAATAATACAATACTAATGTGATTGAACTATGGAATGTTATGATATCTATAAGAGCTCCCAATAAAACGATAAATAAAAAAATTGATTCCACAGCAGTAACAATGAATGAATGGCCATAAAGTGGTTTCTGTGTTCGAAGATGGTGGCTGGTATGTGAGATGAGACTAGCAGTAGAAAGGATGGCCTTCCACTGGGCCTGCTCTGAGGGACTGTCAGAGTGGTGATAGGGCTTCAGCTCACCTGCCTGCCCTCCCTCTGGAGCTGCACCTGTGGTAGGATATGCTTCAACACACATGAAGCATCTAATTTGCATCTTATTATCCTGCCTACTTTCAATGTCTGGATCCTAGTGTTTTTTATAATCCTTTTGCTTCTTCTCCCCTCCCATTTTCTTTTCCAGTTTAAGAAAAGCCCTCCTAAGATCCCTTATAAGGCCATTGCCCTGGCCACCGTGCTGTTCTTGATTGGCACCTTTCTCATTATCATAGGCTCCCTCCTGCTAGCGGGCTACATCAGCAAAGGGGTAAGTGTGTGGCCATGTGCCGTGAAATTTATAAAGTGTGAGCCAGGGTACAGTGTTTGTTTTTTAACATAAATGGTATAGCAGATTCCAGAAAAAAGAGAGGATTTCTCTCTCAATCTCGTTTCTTCCTTTCAGCAACCACACACCTGTCCCAAGTTCAATCAGCTTTTCCTTACATTGCATTCAGTTGAGTTCCTGTTCAGCGTCAGTGTGATACCTTAGGGATAAAGGTGCTCCGTAGTTCTGTCTCTGTGCTGTCTCTACACATACAGTCAAGTGGTATGCATACACAGCTAAGAGCTGAAACTGGGAACTAGCATTGGAACGGGGACAAGTTTACTCTAGAGTAAGTATCTATCTGTTTTAGGTTCTTAGATAATTTTAAATTACGGTGTGGCCAAGTCTTCCTTGGTACATTCAGACTTTGAACACATAACCTCAGAACTGTGGTGTTCGTTAACTTTTGCTTGCAGCATAGTCATTAACCCCCAGGAGAATATAGTAAGGCGTCTACTAATGATACTGTGAAAATTGAAAGAGGAGGTGAGATCCAATTGAAACAAATGCCACCTCACCGTGTGTGGTGGTGTCACAGACTGCTCACCCTATGTGCGCTAGAGTTGAGCTGTGCTGCACAGGGGTTTTCAATGGTTGATTGCTTCAAACTAGGTTGCCAGGCCTTTCCTCCAAGGCACGTGCAGTAAACAGCATGGACATGGACATATCTACCCTCGTATGGCTTCTCTATTTCCATGAGTTGGGAGTAAGACAAGCCTCCATGCTCCATCCTTCTTTACCACTCTGACCCCTGCCAGCCCTCCCACACCACTCTGCTTCTGTGCTGGGTTCAATAATTCATCATCATGGCCACACAGAACTCAGATAATACTCATAATTCAAAGGGTATATTATGGAATTTAGTTGGTCACCACAAGGTAGGGTCAGCAAACAGTATGGATATAGTCATTGGTCCATAGTAATACTTCTCCTCAGCCTGAAGCCAAGTGTCTCTCTGGTCCTCAGTCTCTCAGCCATGTGGTCCCTTGGCCTTTGCCTCCATGCACCAGGAAGCCAATCTGCCTGTCACTCTGTCCCACAGTTCCATAGACTCAGGCCAGATGAGGAGAGGGTAAGGTAACTCATAATCTCGTACTGCTCTTTTGAGTCTGGTGCATCGGGTCTTGGCCTCCACTGCTTCAGACAGATCTTGATGTGCTCTTCTAAATGGTCTTGGTTTTCCCTTGTGTCCCAAATGGCTGAGGAATCTATACTGAGGAATGGCTTTGATGGAGCAGTGCTTTCTCTTTTAGATCAAAGAAAGTAAAGGGTGGTGTCTCAAGACATACCCTCTACTAAAGGAGTTTTAAAGGTGCCCCCAAGGAAACAAAGGGTGTGCCTTGGGTCCTATCCTCTGCTAACTCACTGCCGTACCAACTCATATAGTTAATGTTTAGGACAGGGTGGAACTGCTCCTTTGAATTTCTAAGACTAACTCTTCACAGGAGTAGAAAGCTCCATCTTTCTTCCTCAAAGTACCTAGTGGTTTTGAACTTTGGACATTTTGGTTGGTGGGCAGACACATAACCACTAAGCCAGGTGGGATCTTAATGATGCCCTCGAGGAAACAAAGGGTGTGGCTTTTCCCACATCCAGGTCTGAATCCCACCCCACTCCTGTCCATCAGCATAGGAGAGAACGCCCTCCAAAATGGAAAGTTCAGAATCATATTGTGTAAGGAACTGCGCCTAGAAGGGCTATGCTAATCAACCAAGCTCAGCACCACTGGGCAGTCCTGAAACTCTAGTCTTGATTTAGCAGCAGAGCACATTAACTGTTCTCACCCAGTCTCCCATCATGTTTAGAGACACAAATGTTTGCCCTAATTTTCACTGATACTAAGAATGGTCACATTGACTGAGCTATTTTGTGCCCAGTGGGACCCCTTGCTTTACACATTTTACCTCACATTTCACAGTAACCAAATCAAGCAAATACTGTTATTTCTATTTGTGAATAAGATTTTTCAAAACTATATTGATAACCTAATTAATAAATGTTATTTAAATATCCCTGCCAGAGGGTGAATTTTAGATTAGGTCTAGCTCTTTAGATGAGGTAAATATTCTTTACCTTAAAAAGAGTGGAGAGGAAAAAAAAATAAACTTAACTGTGTACACATTTATTACAGCACCTAAAAATGCAAAGACAAAGTAATTTTATAAAGGTAAATCCATTTAGCATGTATTTATTGAGCATCTGTTATTACAAGGGGTTTCAAAAAGTTGGGGATGGTGGATGGAATTAAATGGTACTTTAGTTCATGTATCTTTGGGACCTGTCGGCTGTGACAGTCTCCCTTTCTAGCCATGGAAGAGTATGTTCTTGTTTATTGGCAGATTGACACTACGATTGGTATCAGATTCTGACTGGCACAAGTAGCATTCTTTGCTGTTAAGCTGGAGTTTGTGTAGAGGGTGCTACTGGGAAAACTTCTAACTGAAGTTAAATGTTTCTAGGGTACTGGATTAATTGACGGACAGAGGAGGGAAAATAAGATTTCAAGAAATCCTGATTAATGAAGCTTCATCTTGCATCAAATTTTATCTTAAATTTCTTTAACTGCTGACATTTGGATGGATATTAGTCATGGTTGAGAAAATTCCAGAACAGCACTTTAATTGACTTAAGTGTTATTTTTAAATGAATACAATGAAGAGTTGCAGTAGAAAATAAAATATATGCATCTTTGTTAAAATTGAATAAAAGACTTGATTCATCTATAAAAAGAAAAGGTGAGAATGATGATGGCAACAAATGTACAAATGTGCTTAACACAATGGATGTATATATGGATTATGATAAGAGTTGTAAAATGATTAATATATATCTGGATAAAAGAAAATGTTCTGAGAATGATGATGGCAACAAATGTACAAATGTGCTTGACACAGTGGATGTATGTATGGATTGTGATAAGAGTTGTATGAGCCCCCAATAAAATGATTTTAAAAAAACAAACAGTCATCTGAAAAAATAAACAGCTATTGATCTCTTTAAAAAAGGAAAGAGAAAAAAAAAAAAAGGAAAGAGAGTCGGGGGTTTAAGTGGAGAGAAAATGTTTTGAGTGATGTACAAATGCGCTTTACACAATTGATGTGTGTATGGATTGCGATAACAGTTGTATGAGCCCCTAATAAAATGTTTTTTAAAAAAAAATTAAAAAAGAAAAAAAGGAAAGACAGAATGAGGGGATGCAACCTAGGCAGGCCGGAGCCGCTGCTGTCGCCATGACCCGCGGTAACCAACGCGAGCTTGCCCGCCAGAAGAATATGAAAAAGCAGAGCCACTTGGTTAAGGGAAAGCACTGAGATGGCGGGCTTTCTGCTGCGGCCCACAAGCAGAGGGACTCGGAGATCATGCCCCAGAAGCAGAACAAGGCAAACGAGAAGGAGGAGGAACCCAAGTAGCTTGTGGCTTCATGTCCAACCCTCTTGCCCTCCGCCTGTGTGCTGGAGCCAGTCCTACCACGCTCGCGTACCTCCTGTAGTGCTTCAGGTCCCAGCACCGCTGGCATTCCTTTTGCCCTGAGACTGCAGCGGGTCCCTTTTGTGCTTCCTTCCCCTCAGGTAGCCGCTCCCCCTGGGCCACACCTGGGGGGTGAGGGGTTACCCCTTCCCAGTGTTTTTTATTCCTGTGGGGCTCAACCCAAAATATTAAACGTACATTTGTAATTTTAAAAAATAAATAAATAAAAGGATATTTCATCCCCCCCCCACACACACACACACACAAATTGACATTCCCTCATGTTGGCCTCAACAGGGGATATAGAAATAAAAGCCCCTACGACTAAAAAATTTCAAACTTTATGAATAAAACTGTTTAAATCAAGGCCTTGAATCTGATCTTATTGGTTCCATAGATGACAAAGTAAAATCAAAATGGCCTTGAATTTGTATAATGTGAGTACTGGAACTATAGCCAAACAAGAAAAACCATCAGAATGCTTAACTAGGCACATGAGGACTTAAGAAGAAAACTATGAAACACAACTGCAAGAAATCTACATAAATAGGAAGACACTGTGCTCATAGATAGGAAGACAACACTGAAAATGTTAGCACTGCTCCTTGTGGTCTTCTATAGATAAAATGTAACATTCTTTAACAAGATGGAAAACCTAATAGCCAAAGCATTATTGATGGAACAGTATTGGAGGCCTCACACTCCATGATCTTAGAGCCTATTGTATAGCCACAGTCAGAAAAAACAAAAACAAAAAACTAGGTCCTGAAGTTGTGACATGGACATGTATCAGTTATGGAGAATCTAGACACAGCTAGTTCATCGATCAAAATCCATTCAATGGGGAAGAATACTAACAAATGGTTCTGGCATTATTGGTATCCATTTACAGAAAAACGAAGAGATCACACCATACACAAAAACTCAAAACAGATCAAAGACCTAAATATGAAACCTAAAACCATAAGGCTTATGGGTAAAAAAAGAGACCTAGGTGCCCTGACTTTGACATATACTATCAAACATAACTGAAAATGCATGAACAACTGAAGATAAACTAGACAAGTGGAATCTTATAAAAATTCAACACTTAAGCTCAAAGCAAGATTCACTGAAAGTGTAGGTAAGAACATGCAAACTGGGAAGGACAACAGAAAAGTGGGTGAAAGGAGACGTTGGGCAGTGTAAGACACGATGAAACAATTTGTAAATTATCAAGGGTTCATAAATATATAAAAGAAAATGTTCTGAAAATGATGACGGCAACAAATGTACAAATGTGCTTGACACAATGGATGGATGTATGGATTGTGATAAGAGTTGTACGAGCCCCCAATAAAATGGCTTTTAAAAACAAAAAAGTACTTACAAACTGGGAAAGCACCTTTGGTAATGACATCTGACAAGGACCTAAATCTAAAATTTATAGAAAAAAGACCTTCAACAAAAAGACAATCCAATTAAAAAGTAGACAAAGGACACGAACAGACACTTAACCAAAGAAGACATTCAGGCAGCTAACACACCTGAAAAGGTGTTTGCGATCATTAAATTAGAGTTGCAAATCAAAAACTAAATGAAATAGCAAGAAAAAGGAGGCTTTGGGAAGACTGGAATTCAAAGTTTACACACAGATTGTTTGATGGTTACCCTGGATGGAGGAGGAAGAGGCAATCACTAGGATACAAGTGTGCATTCTTGAGAAGGGGAACACAACGTCCACAAATGTGACCAAGGTACATAGAAGACATGAAGATAACCAAAAACCAAACCAATGCTGACAACACTGACCCTACAGGAGAAATACTAAACACAGGCAGGCATTCAACAAGTCATGGTTTATAAATAGATATATAGGTAATGGTGTCTAAATAGGTGAGAGAAGTTATGTGGGAGTATAGCCGCATACAGATACAGTAATGATTGTTCCATGTGTTTCTCCATACAAATTGGTAAATGCTAAGGTATTCACATGTGTATAGCACTCCGAGGCCACAGTAACAGAAACTACTTCTTCAGTAGAACTGAACCACTGATCTTTTTTTTTTTTTTTTTGAGTTGGGATCCTATTTTTTTTTTCAATCATTTTATTAGGGGCTCATATAACTCTTATCACAATCCATACACACATCAATTGTGTAAAGCG